TCCAAACGAGCCTTATACCAATTTGTCAATTCCGGATGGATGGGAATTTTGATAGGCCGGGGTGTCAAATCAGTGTGTTAGGCCGGGATCGCGAAGGCAGTCGCGACGCATAACCCTCTTGTCCCCTGTCCCCAATATAAAGAGATGAGCACAAAGATTGGAAAGGCAAAATAGAATTGGAAGATATTTCGTAGTTAATTTACAGTATCAGCAACTTACCTGCGATACTATTTTCTTTCATTCGCTTGATGAACGATCGGCAGCGACCATTGTCGGCTACAGTAAGTCCGAATAGCCTGAAAGAGTGACCACAGTGGACCTCTTTTGAACATGTACGTGCAGTCGTCAAGTGTACCTATTCAATAAATCTTTTGGAACAGCTTCGCTCTGCCAGAATAAGCGGTCTTATTAGGGTTTTCATGGGAAACCTTGCCGGGAAATAAAGTGAAGCGTATGTGGGAAGCTGGCAATAGAGAATATGTACGTGCAGTCGTCAAGTGACCTATTTAATAAATCTTTTGAAACAACCCCGTTCTGCCAGAATAAGCCGTTTTATTAGGGTTTCCAAGGGGAACCTTGCCGGGAAATAAAGTGAAGCGTATGTGGGAAGCTGGCAATAGAGAAGAGCATTCGAGAGGGGAAGCGAAAACTTACGATCAAAGAACTCCTTAAATAGTGGTAATCACTTAAAATTTATACCCGCTACTTAGAAATCTGTGGTTAGATCCAGCCGCCAGAAATGCAGTGCCCATCACGGACATCCAGCTTCAAACTCACTTTCAGGAATATCTTCCGGGTTTTACTTTGCTCGTACTTAACTGTCTACTGCATGGTCGCAGCTACCATTTCCAGATAAGCAAGTGAAGGTCGAGTTGCCTGACCGATTGTAAGTTGTTTATCCATCTGTATCACCCTGATATCCACAGCAAAATGTCGTCTCCCTACTTCCTACAGTTCGGTCTCTCAATTCAGGTTAACTCTGCCACTGAACCCCAACACCCCATAATATGGTGCAGCTAACTCAACATGGTGTGATTACGATCTTTCTAGGAAGCTTTGTATGGGCTCCTCCGAGACGTCCAGACCGAATCTTAAGGTGTTGAGCGCTGAGGAATGCTAGGTGCTCTTACGGTTCAGTTTTAGTAAGCTCCACTTCGACAGCTTGTCCTTTCACGTGAGCAAACAACATGTCCGAGTATTCCAAGCTCCCAGAAAACAGCTTATCCATATCGGGCTGGAATACGAAGACATCAAGCCTAGCACATCATGATAGGGACAAATCTGGTACCTACCCTGAAGGTGTTGATTGTGCAGAAGATAATGTCATCAGGGGAGATGTTGAAGCAGCCAGCGATGGACTGAAATTGAGGCACTTTCACCGATCAGGTGAACAGGAACAGAAAAAGGTGTTACCTGGAAAAGTTCATCGATGGAGGAGAAGTTGGAGATGATGGCAGTGGGGGAGCCATGGGCAAGTTGACAGCAAAATCCAAGCTCCCAGAAAACAGCTTATCCATATCGGGCTGGAATACGAAGACATCAAGCCTAGCACATCATGATAGGGACAAATCTGGTACCTACCCTGAAGGTGTTGATTGTGCAGAAGATAATGTCATCAGGGGAGATGTTGAAGCAGCCAGCGATGGACTGAAATTGAGGCACTTTCATCGATCAGGTGAACAGGAACAGAAAAAGGTGTTACCTGGAAAAGTTCGTTGATGGAGGAGAAGTTGGAGATGATGGCAGTGGGGGAGCCATGGGCAAGTTGACAGCAAAATTTCAGTTTCCGTGCCGCTAAAGCTGAATTCACTGGCATATCTCATCGAACCCTGTCTCTTTTAGAGCTGGAATTGTTTGGAGAAAAATTCTACAGACGGTAATTGCCTCTCATGATGTTCTATCTTGACGGAACCTCTGGTTTGACTATGCCTCCACAATTGAACACCCACAAAACCTAATGAAGAGTACCACTTCGAGTGATGGAAGGCTCGGGTAACATTGCATACAGCGACTACTCATGCAATTACATATGGTATTCTACTTTTCCACTAACTAGAACTTTTCACACGCAAAAAGAATATTCAGCCTCAATCGCTTCAGCCATTCTTTGTCTCTAATTGATGGATAGTACAATCACTATGATATTATCTAAGGTAAAAGGTTGTTTTTGTTGACAGTTCAATGGAACCCACCTATCGGACTGCAATCCGTAGCGTTACTGATGTTTGCTGAACGTCCTTGTTTTCTGGGTTTGAAAAGAGTAGAGGATTTTTGGCTTGGTACACGAACGGCAGTCGTGCTTGGCTTTGAGGCACCTTCCACTACCGTACTCTTCTGAGTTGGAACTGTTTCTTCGACACATTTTTGAGGTTGAGGAGATTTGATGGTGACGTCCTTAGCGTGGAGGCCGTTCTCAGTTGAAAGCATCTCGATGCACCTTTGAGGTTGAGTGGAATTGGCAATGACATTCTTCTGGTTTGATTCCATTGACTTCAGTGTTGTAAGGGCTTCGGAATTCTGCCAATTAAATAAAATTGAGACGGTATCCCGAAGAGGATGTCGAGTAAGGCTAAATGGTACTGTTGCCACAAATATATTACGCGCCTAACTAGACCCAGATCGATCACGCAAGACCTGCGACAATCTATTGGACGTTTAAGCCACGAAAGCAGTAGTGTCAGACGTTTGGCGTTTTCAGAAAGGAGAACTTCAATTGCACCATCGTTCTATAATCCCGGTATGACTATAAAACCCCTGAAAAAGTTGGACCTCCCGTATTTATACTTGATAACGGACATCTCTTATCTAATCAACCCACTTTACCATCTGAACTAGATCAGACAGTCGATGGTGTTACTCATGAGCGCGGTCGAGTCCGCTGAAATCACAGATTACAAGCCATTCTTGTAGCACATGTCCGTTATGGAGCACGGAGCATCTCCTCCGCAGATTCATCTCCCCTCTGACCAATGGCTCAATCACTACAGCAGAAGATTCTTCGTTGTGAGATGACGTAGAAGTTCAAGCGAAGCGAATAGTTCGAGCCACTAGAATACCATGAAAGTGTACAAATGAGTGATGGCAGTCTACAGGGCCTTCTCCCAGCTGAGCTGAGAAGCCCATAAATTCTCCCATCCCACCCAGATTGCTACTCAAGTTGCAGGTGCCCACGGAAAGGCCAGTTCCAGCGCGTTCCATCCCAATAGCGCTGTACACATGATGGATCCTCTTTGTCCGCCTATTGACTCATGCATTTCGTTGTTTGTGATTACTGTGACACAGCATCTGCGGGACGTTAAGCCAGTTTTCAGTCCTTTTCTATACCACGACACTGCTCTCATCTCCCTAGGTTTGAGCAAAATAAGCTGTAATCGTGGCGCTTAAGCGGTCGGCATTGATCTGACCGTGCTTAACGTAAAATGAAACTATACCTGTTGGTTTGCGGCAATGTTTTTCAGCTTCACTATCACGTCTTTCACATCGATAGGCGGACTTGGTGTGATAACTGTTCCAAATGTTCCACGCATGGTTGGGATCCCTAATGCAACCTTCGCTGGCATGGCAGTGATTATTCTTGGTGGAGCATAAACGGCAACTGTGTTGGGATTTCGTAAAGCAACTACTCCGTTGTTTTGTTTCTCCTCTACAGGAGCTTTCTTCGAGGGAGACAACGCGAAGATCTCCGAATCAAATCGGAAAATTTCCGTTATCGACTCCTCTGATGAAAGCGTCGAAGACACACGGGACAGCGTTGGACTGCTCATTGGTTCTGGTCCCGACGATGATCCCGAGGTGTCTTGAGAGCGAACGGCATCCGCAAATGGTATTCGGTTCCACACAGGTTTCGGTGTAGGAGGTCGTATTGATCCGGCGTTAACGTTTTTATTCGGTGCCATCTTTCGAGGTGGACAACGTTTCATCGAGCGACTTCTCGGTCGTGCGGGAGGACGCGGCCATGGGCCGTAGAAGACAGCACCTTGTTCGTCTCTCGGTGCATCTGACGCGGAACAACTACGCTTCACCAAACCGGCTCTGTTAGGGCAGAGCTGTGAGTCAGTACATAGTTGGCAGTCTTCTTCGGTATGGTGTCCATGAACCGGTTCCTGTGGGTTCGGCTGCGGATGTGGATTCCATCGAGGGAACCTTAGCCAGGCATTGGGTTTTCGAGTTCGTGATCGAGATTTACGCCTGAAAGAGCATACTTAGACTTGTGAATGACAGAATCATGGGATAGGTACCTGTTGCCACCGGCTCCCTGATTCATGTTAGTAGAAAGTGAACCAACCACGTCGGAATGAATTTATAGGCGGTGATATAGTCCTTATCGTTATCAGAACTCTGTGATAGATGAAGCCTTCTGTATGAGAATGAATCTTTTCGGGCTTCCACTGTGATTTCCCACAAAAAACCTCAGAAAATGATGACAGATCCGAGACATCCCTGCAATATTCAATTACACGCTTAAATAACGTGAAGGTCACGGCCAATAAACATACAAGCCATTGTTTTTACCTCAGCGGACGAATTCGGAATCAGTCGTAAAAACAAGCTGAAGAAGGCAACGTCAAGAAGCGCCGGTACCAAGGATGGATTGGGTACTAACGCCGACTCGATAGCCCGCCACTGCAGCCTGCGTCTTCCTTAGCCTCATATGCTCAGATTTCAAGAAAATCTCATCTGAAAGAATCAGAGCACTCACTACTTGAATATCGACTGATTCTGCGAGTTCCTGTACGGACCAGGTGAGCATTCAAAAGTCTCCTAGATTCTCGGTGGATAATTATGGTACGCATACGATAAAGCGGGGCAGATGAACGACAGATATTCAATTTTATTTTATTATTTTGCTAATGGCCGTAATTTCAATCACGTGCTTCACCAGCAAACCAACAACACGTGTTTGTCACAAATTAAATAATTGCGTAGTTGACCTTCGGAACCAGTGCACAACAGAACGTTTACAACCCAACGCTTCTTGGGCACAGAATCGTTTTGTCCTTGGAAATCGCGATGATATAATACTTTGGTCTCTCACACGTACTTGTCTTACGGCCGGTTCTCGACCTTCCCAACTTCTATAAAACCCATACATGAGACTGCTTCTTTGTCTAAACTTTCCGGAATGGCAATCTTACAACTGCTACTGTTCTACCTTATCACAGTGACTTCTGTCGTTTCGCAAAATATTCCATGGCTACTCGGACCGAGCTACAATATTGATCCATTTGGAAATCCTTTTGTGGGACAAAGGGACAATGGCGTATTCATCTTCTGCAATGGTTTAGGATGTCCAGCGCGAGGATGAAGGCAAATACAGCTCCCAAAAGAAGGCCGTTCATTTGAGTGCTAAATTAGTCACTTTGCCTTCACGTTTTAGAATTAAATAATAATTAGAATATGTCAGTATGAAGAGCTCCAGTTCCTCACCATAACATTAGCTAGGCACAATAATTTCATTTTGCTTTCAATTGTAGTGGGTAGATCGCCTGGACAAATTCTATGTGATATCTCTACTTGAATTGTTTTTAGACCATGCATGTATGTTCATTCATTTGCCATAACTGTATGGTACGTTTTAAATAAAGAGTTATATGCTTCTATGAGGACGGCGATGGTGTAGGGGGTAGTGGCACACTAACACAGTTGCATGGTCGTAGGATCGAATCTCGGACTGATACTCGTTCTGCATTCCATATAGAATCGGAGGATATCATGCTTCTCTCTTCTTGCGGTTGACTAACTAGTACCATACTGTCGGGAAGAATAAAAGCACCAAGTTGAACATTGGCTAGCCACTGCCAATTCACTGTATTGGCCACAAACACATTCAGACCGTCGCCACGATTCCGAATAGAATGCAGGGGCGTTGGGCAATGTTAAAGACTTCATCCTTCATCCATTACATGTTCCTGCGAGGCCAATTAAAGGAAAAAAAAGCATCGGATCTGTGCTGTTTTCGCTTATAAGCGAATCATTGGGATTGCCTCAGACTTCCTTACGTATGAGACACCTTAATTTGAGAACCTTGCATATCACCTTTGGTTCAAGTTTATTGATGATCTCAATATACTTCATCAAGTTCCTCCTAAAAACCGTTCCTGAAAGGACTTCTCAAGTTTTTAGGCAATTATTATTTCAAAAACGATTTCGATAAAGCAGTGGGAGTTCACTAGCTAGTCTTGTCCTCAACATTATCCGCGTGAATCTAATGCCAATAAGTGAAAGACGAAGTCAGGAACAATTTCAGTGATAAAGCCCTTGCAATCGTATCGTACATCCTTACCACTGACTGCCTTTCTTTGCCCCGAATTCCTACCTAATAAGGGCTTTGAAACATTCTAAGCAACGACTGTTTCAAGGCACAGTTCTTTGGAATAAGTGAGCTCGAGAATTTCTTTTTTTGTGAGCAGAAATTAAAGGACCTTAGAGAGCAACATGGAGCATCGTCGAGTCAAAAGGTGGTTTGAAAAAGCTACCTTATATAGAATGATAGCATCCAGACTGGAGCATGTTGTGATCCCGCTCAATCCTAAAAAGGATGAATTCAAAAAAAAGCCTTATTTAGTATTGCTCCGGATTTTCCGGTATTTTTCAACCGTTGAGTAAATTGTAATTCATTGGAGTGCATCCAACTGAAAGTTGTCCGAATCTAGGTGTCAAACAGACTACCACTCCTTCTACGCTCAATGTCTGACCAGAGCTCTTCCTTGTTGTCTCAGCCAATAGCTCAGACATGATGTCAACTTACAAGGGTTATTGATCGAATATCCTGTCAAAAACTATGAAAGACCACACAATACAGGCAAGAGCGGGGGTCGATGAGAAAGAAAGGCAATCGATATTGAATTTGATGGAACCAACTATACTTGAGAAGCATTGGATCATTTATGCAGGGCCAGTTTCAAACAATTAGCTAATAGAAGATTCCAAGGAAGTTCTGAAGATCTTCAAGGACTGCTGGATAGGAACCTGGTCTTGGGCTTTCCATAGTAAACCATAGTGTTTCAGAGAAACGTTATACAAAGTCTCACAAGGTTGGCGATTTGCGGGCAAAACTCCAGTCTCGGACGGGACTGGAGTTTTGCCCACTAATCGCCAACCTTGTGAGACTTTCGCTTCGCGTACTGCGGCGTTAAAACAGCAGNTAACAAAACATCAAGTTATACAAAGTGATAAGTCGTTTTCATGCTGGGCTGACCACCTTGATGAGGTATTCACAAAACGGATAACAGAACGTCATCAACCATGGTTTGAAGATGCTTTCTTAACAAGCTGTTTGCTGCTAACGTCAATATCACTTAAAATATTTTTTTTTACAAAGAAAACACCGGGAACTGGATAAGGAAGAGAAGCACGAAGCGAGCTTTACCTTGAATTTATGTTGCTTTTTGTTAAACGACAGATCGGGGGGAACACCGCATTATACATGTGGCCGTTAGACAAGGGCTAGTTTTCTGGTCACATCCAAAACATAAATTCTCCAAAAATTATGGCAAGTCCGTCAAGTAAGGGAAAAGCCACATAAATAGGATGGTTGCCCAAAGAGCAATGGACGAGTTCCCGGGTGCATTCCAAAAATGGTCCACTTATTGAGATGAATTTCGAAAAACACGCATGGTCCACTTAATATGCATAGAATAAAGAACAGCTCCTCCAAGCAATGATAGGCAACCCATGAAGTGCAGAGAGATTGACGAGAATGTACACTACAAGAAGTTCCCACGTGTTGAGATGGACGAGTTTCTTTTAAACTCATGAGAATCTAGAAACAGTGATGGACAATCCAGAGTGGACGAAACCTCGCCCGTGATCCTGGCACCAACCAGGACCCACAATGTATCTTGTCAGATCAGAATGGACAGGTCCATTAGAATATAATGAGATGGACGAGTTTCAATTCCGTCCCATAAACCACTGAGGGTCTTCCAACAATGATGATCAATCTATAGAGATAGAACATCTCTTCTCTGACCCTAACAGTAGTAGGGGCCACTACCGCAAAAACAGACAGTTTGGAAGAGACAAGTCATCGTCGTCAGGAGATCGTATTGAGATGGATGAGTTCCGGGTATGTGTACGAACGTGCGTCCGAGGATGCGCGCGGCAAATGGCGCGGCGAAGTTCGTAATGATTTGAACGACTTTGGCGCCTATCATTGGGGGCCAAAATGAAGTAGAGTAGATTAGAAGGATCATCTGACCCTACCAAACTACCCTACTTCGAGTTTGTGCCCCGAAACTTTGCGCCAGAGTCGTACTAATGGTCACGAACTTCGCCGCGCAATTTGCCGCGCGTACCCTCGGACGCACGTTCGTACCGTCCCCCATAAGTTCCCATCGCCATGGAAAAGCCCAGAGTTTCCGAGAGACGACAAGAAATAATAGAAACAACTCAATACCTCCTCAATAACATTTGCCTGCCTTTTCCGATCTCGCTGGTTCGGATATGTTGAGCCTGTCTAGTTACGAGGGACGCAATTTCCCAGCACATTGTATGGCCCATCATCATTTCTATAATCCAAAGTTTCCGAGAAACTGCATGGAAACGCGTCCAACTTAATATCGTAACACTTTAATAGTAACCCCTTGCACTTTTCAGTCTGACTACTCAGGCAGAACGATGTTAGAACCGGAGAGGTCATTCGCCATTCTTTGTGGATTGCCCATCATTGTTTGGAAAAGGCAGAGTTTCCACGAAATAATACGGAAACTCGTCCAATCTTGTGTCCTCTCAGAAAAAACTCCCTGCCATTTCCAACCTGATGCTACCCGCGCAGTGTGATGTCAGAATGATGGAGGGCATTCCCCATACGTTGTCTGATAGACGTCGTCAATGAAAATTCTAGTTCCCAAGTCACAACTAGGAAACTCGTCGAGATCAATCATAATATCTGCCCGCCTTTCCCAATCTCACTGTTTCAGCAATAATAAGCGTGCCTTGTAGCAATCGGAGAAACTTTCCTTTTCTATGTATTGCCTGTATTGCCTACCACCATTTGGAAAAGCCAGAGCTACCGGAAAAGTACGGGGAAACTCGTCTAACTATGTATCTCCTCAGTAACAACCCCTTGCCCTTTCCAATCTGACGCTACTCGCGAAGCGTGATGTCAGGATCAGAGAAGGCATTCCTTATACGTTGTGTGTTTGCCGTCTTCAATGAAAATTCTGTGTTTAAAATTTGCACCAAGGGAATCTCCCAACTAAATATTTCTTGCCTGGCTTTCCCAATTTCATAGTTTCGGCAATAGCGAGCCTGGCATGGCATGGCATGGCCTACCAATCAAGATATAAGATCAACAAAGAATCAACAATAATGTTATA